CCAGGGATTTGGTATTGAGGAGCATAGTAGACATTGTAACATCAAAATAAGATTTTTATTAGCATTTCGCCGAAAAAAAATAATGCAAAAGAATCAATGAAAAAAATGAAAAAAATCTGTCATTTCAATTGTTGCATTTCGCTGACAATGGTTGCTCCAAACACCAATGGGAAGAATGAAATGACCAGATCTTTCGTCCAAAAAATTTGTCGCAGTTCTTGCTAGAATTTGCTCTACAATCACTTTAATCCTCGGGTTGGGATTTCTCAACGATTGCTCAATTTCAAGACGAATTCTAAGTGACTGGAATCTTTCTCCGTCTTGTTGTCGTCCACCATCGGGTGCACCAAACTAAGCTCAGTCGTTGGCACCGTCGATGTTCTACTTATGGGCTAGGGCTCTTCACTAGAAAGTTGCACAAATAACCACCATTAGCGGTTAATCAAACCGTTAATTGCTTTTGTTAATTGTATTGGGCTTGTCCCTTGTTTGCCCCTTTTGGGCTTCTTTTGTCCCAGTAATGGACTATCTGGCCGAAGACCCACACTGTAATTATTATTTATTTATATCAATTGCTAACCTTTTCGGAAAAAAGAAAAAGAAAAAGAAAAAAAAGGTTAAATAATGGAATCATAAATCAAATAAAGTTTTCATATATACTAAAATTCATTTGAAGTTAAAATAGTTCATTGGTTTTTGTTGTTCCTTATATCATTTAAGGAACTGTTTGAGAGCCTGGTGTCATTGCAAAGTTTGCACCAAACAAGTAAATTTACAACAGTACTCTTCTCTGAAAAATTTGACCAGAAAAGGGGTAATTCAAAAAATTTACAATTCTGAGCTGTGGTCAAAGAATCAATGCAAAAGAATCAAATATATATATATATATAGTCAGAATGTTCTAGGTAAAAAATTAAGAACATAGATTTATATATATATATATATATATATATATATGTGATTGTACAGTTTCACTGGCATTAGCAATTGGCGCGCACTGTGGTTCAGTACAGTATAGGCTTTAACACATCAAAGAGGGCTGCCTGAAGTCTCTCATAAGGCACTTTTGCCTTTCCTAAGTTTCCTTTTTCATACAAGACGAAGGATTTAGTAATCTTTCCTTTTCCTTTTTCAACTTCATGTCAAGCATACAAAATCTATGAGACAACTCATACTTGTGCTACAGTATGTCTTCTAACTCATTTGTCATTCGAAGTATACCAAGATTTGAGATTTAGGTCAAGTCAAGCGCGGGAAGCACCATAACGATAAAATTAATTTATAAATAGTGAGTATGGGAACGGGAGTGCGCAAAACTTGAGAGCGAAAGTCATTGAGAATGATTATGTGACTTAGATTGGGATTCCGTGCGATTCAGCACCGCTCGTATGCTTAAAATAATTGCGACTGAGTTGACTATATGCAGGCACGAATCCAATTCAGGCTGTCCCCACTGAATTTTTTTTTTTAAAAAATTACATTTTTACTCATAATTTTAGTTAACATTTCAAAAATGCCCCCAAAAAAATTACATTTTTACTCATAATTTTAGTTAACATTTCAAAAATGCCCCCACTCAATTTTTTTAAATTCCCTTCACATTTTTACCTCACTTATTTCTCCACTGGATTTTTTTTAATTTGTGTTATTACCTAAAGTTTTAGTTAAAATTTCAAAAATGCCCACACTCAAATTTTTTAAAATGCCATACTTAAAAATAAATAATAATAAAAAAAATTGTCCACCCTCAAAAAATTTCCTAGTCCATCAGTGACTATATGCAAGCATTATTTGTTGGATCATGCGCGGGAACAGGAACACGATAGTGATAAAATTAAGTCACAAATAGTTGGAACGGGAGTTAGAGCGCGAGAAACATAAAAACGGAATCTATTAAGAAATATTATGTAACTTAGATTGGAATTTCATGCGGTTTAATATCCATAATTACTTGTATACTTATAATAATTACGACATACTGATGTGACTATATGAAAGCATTATTTGTTGGATCATGTGAGTCTCACTGTGAAACTCACATGATACTAAGTTTGAACACGTTAATTGTACTTGTTAGCTTTCTCTATTGTCACATTTGGTGGTGTCAGACATGCACTTTTTTCTCATCTTTGGATTGTTCTAATGTGTTACAAACGTGAATGTACAAGAAAGCCCTAACTATGTATGACCTGAGATGAGCAATGCAGCAAATGATCATATGCTCTACTCTTTCAATTCAAACTTTTTAAAATGCATTATGTATGATGTCCATACTGATCTGTGCTTAAAAAGGGCGAATCTATTAATAAAAAAAAATTTGTATTTTCTTCCCTATTGATACAATAATATGGAGTACATATAACGAAATTCATTCAAATAAAATACATGAGGTAAGGATAAAATATATATATTTTTAATTAAAAACAGGTGGGTCCATTCTATTTACATGTATATCTATATATATGGTAAATAAAATATATTTTCTGTAAGTACCTAATCTCGTGAAAATATCATCAAACTATCAGCTACTATGCGACCTTTTTCAAGAGAACCAAATTGGCAAGTTAATATACATGGTTCATTAGCAAATCTCTACAGATGTAGAAACGTGCATGACTAAAGATCAAACTTCTATTTCTTAATATCATCCAACAAATAGTAATCATATGTGTGTGTGTGTATATATATTATATTATATTATATTATATTATATAATACATATAATGGCCATCGCTTCAAGAGTGTTTGCTATATATCTTTGTTTGATTGGAGGTCGGGATGAAAAAAATAGATGGAAGAAAGAAGAAAATAGATGGATGAGGTATCCTAGGGAAAAGATGGATGGGATGATATATATATATATATACACACACACACATATGTGGTTTGGTTGAAATGAAAGAAAATATAGTTTTTATACTCTTTTTACCAAAATACCCTTATTATATAAAATTAAAAAAATTAGATAGTCATTTTAATTTTTTTAGAAGGTTAAAAATGAAATTTACAGACATTTGTTTTGTAAATATGAGAATAGTTCTTAGTAATTTAGAGAACAGAAAATAATTTATAAATAAAAAATCGTTATCTGAAAATAAATTTTTTTTATAATTGAGTATTCAAAAAATTGTAAAATTATTATTAAATTATATATTAATTCCTCCATTGAGTTGATTGATGGTTGGTTTGCAAATGGTCAATCATCAACTTTTCTCACTTTCTATATATCCACAATGAGCTTTTTTTCCCAAGTATGAATACAATCACGTATATGCAGAAGTAGAGATGGTATCGATCCTTTCTTTCTCTCGGGTTGCTAAGCAATTTGCATGACATGGCATGCCTGCCATAGCAAGTCCAATCAGGGTGTGACAGTTTGGTAAATGGGGTGGCCATCATGTGACTGAAGAGATTTGTTTGTATTATATATGCATATATATATATATATATATATGTATATATATATGGGACCGTATTTGATGGATATCACTTCATGGTTTGCATTCTGCAGTGTCACATCGTTTATGTTTATATTGCACCACATCTCCTATTACCAAAATCTCCTTTTTATGGCAAAAGCGGGAGACACATTCACGCCTTCCTTTCTACACACTTCATTACATTGTTCCATATATCAACCTATACATATATGTATATACACACACATCGATTTCTATCAATCTCACTTTTCTGCGCATCTATATATATATGTATATAATATATATAGAGAGCCCAAATCCCCTCACCTTATATATGTATTTATCAGCACAGTAATTTTCAACGCATTATATAATTTTTTTTTTTTTTAACCTATTAGGCTATTACATGTTAAATGTGTTTTTCAACACACTCATTTTCAAGTTTCAACGCATTATATATATTTGTTTTTTTTGTTTTTCAACAAGGATTACACCTAGCTGAAAAAAGTAAATGTACCTAATTAATATTTAAAATAAATGTAATTGTAGTAAAAATCACTATAGCACCAAAACTTATTCAAGAAGACAAAGACGGAGCTAGAATTTCAAGTCAGGGCCACAATGCGATATATATATATATATATATATATATATATATATAAATATAAAATATGACAAATATAAAATATAAAAGAAGAAGAGGAAATTATCTATTCAAATATGAAGGTTAAAAACAAGAATTTTAAAAAGTTAAAAAAGAAAAAGGAAAGGAAAATGAGAGAATTTTGAAAGGAAAAAGTTAGAGTTAGATTGAGGAAATGAAATTTGACTTTTTTCTTTTAAGAAAATTAAAGAATTTTGAAAAATAAAAGAGAAATTAAAGAAAAAGTTAAGAGATAATTAGAGAAATTAAAGAAAAAGTTAAGAAATAATTTTAGAAACTAAAACATTTAGGAGGACATGTATAAATTTGTTCATATAAGTAAAAAAATAGTACATATATTGTAGAGGACAGGACAGGCCAGGGAGCAGGTGCCCCACCCTAGGACTACAATGGCACCGTTCCAGCAAGAAGAAAGATCATATTTATACACACATATGTTAGTAGAGAGTGTATATATATATATATATATATAATATTTATATATAGAGAAAAATATATATGAAATGAATGAAAAGAAAAGGGCAAAAAAGGGGTTTGGTTGGGAAGTGAGCATTTGGGGCCAAGAGAGGCAGTGTCCCCATCCCATGCATTTTTATCCCCCACCTCTCCCCCTTTGCCGATCCATTGTCTCCTCCATTTCCAAACACGCCAAAACCCCAATACTCATTAATTCCCCTCCTCCACTCCACGTACGTGCACACACACACAACACACATTAATATATTCCGTCTCTCTCTCTCTCTCTCTCTCTCAAGCCAACATAGGTACTAGTACTATTACCGATAGGCCCATTATTTATATTCCCTTCTTTCTCTCGTCCCCACTTAATTACCTTCTCCTTCAAAGTTAACCCCAAAACCCAACTCTCTCTCTCTCTCTCTCTCACACACACACACACTCACTCTCTCTCTCTCTCCATGCAAACTCCATCCTTGACATGCATATCCTCTAGTACCGAGGATGCATATTTGGAAGGTGTTGATCAAGAAGACGAAGACTACAGCACTCTACTTTGTCTCGGGCCTCCAGGCCAACAACACCAACCCAAACATTCCCATTTTGACCTTCACGACTACTCTAATTACCAGCATCCCAAGAACACTTATCAAAACCCTAATAGTAGTACCACTGATGAAGATCATGGTGGTGTGACTGTTGCTCTTGGTATTGGGGTACCAACTACTTCAGGAGCTAGCAGCTCCACCAATGTTGACCCTAATACTATCGGCCGTCTCCCAGAAGGCCAATATTGGATCCCTTCTCCAGCTCAAATCCTCGTCGGCCCGACCCAGTTCTCTTGCACCGTTTGCAACAAAACATTCAATCGATTCAACAACATGCAGGTTACTAATTTACAACTAAAAATGTGTCATTAATTTTGGGTGACAATGTGACATGATTTTTTTTTCTTCATGTTTTCTTTTCTTATATATATAACATGTTTATATATATATGTTTATGTCATATTAGCTAATTATATGAATGTCCTGCTTCTTTGTAAATTTATTTCCAGCGTTTTCTTTTTCTTCTATAGAGTTTCTCAACAAAATCTAAGGCATACATACTACTAATAGTAGTGAAAAAAAATACTAGTACTACTACTAGTATATGAACATTTGCTACAACCATTCCAAAAAAAAAATAAAAAACATTTGCTACTATTTATACAATTTGCTTGAATTTCCAAAATAAATAAATTTGCTCATGGTTACATTCTCAAAATTCTTGTTTGTTTAATTTTCTTCAAATTAAGATTCTTTTTTTTGGGGGTAAATTTTATTGTCATAACTATTTTTTCCTTCTTTCTTTTCTTTTATAATGTGCAGGTCTACTTCTCTAGCTAGATGCATGACACACACAAACACACACTAATTTGCCAACGTTAATTAATTTCCTTATCCATTTACGATTTCAATCATTTTCCTTTATTCTATTCTATTCTATATATATATATATATATATATATATATATAGATATTCTCAACCAACATGACATATATATAATAATATATTTTTTAATTATGTCTCTCAGATGCATATGTGGGGGCATGGATCCCAATATCGGAAGGGTCCAGAGTCACTAAGAGGGACAAAACCTGCCTCCTCAATGCTGAGACTGCCTTGTTATTGCTGTGCTGAGGGTTGCAAGAACAACATAGAACACCCAAGATCGAAGCCATTGAAGGACTTCAGAACACTCCAGACACATTACAAGCGAAAGCACGGAGCGAAGCCGTTCGGGTGCCGGATATGTGGGAAGCCCTTCGCCGTCCGGGGGGATTGGAGGACTCATGAGAAGAACTGTGGGAAGCTCTGGTTTTGCATCTGCGGGTCGGATTTTAAGCACAAGAGGTCCCTTAAAGACCATGTTCGCGCCTTCGGAGATGGCCATGCACCACATAGTGAGGACTTGTTTGAGGTTGTAGAAGATAGTGATAATCATAATGGACCACCTGCAAATATGGATAGTCATGGCTCTGTACTGTTTTGAATCTTTTGATATAATGCCTGTGAAGCTCTAGTCATTTTAGCACTTAGGAATATTGGCTAATTAGAGTGTATTTGTGTTTTTGTTTTGTGTGTATGTGCGCATGAGAGAGAGAGAGAGAGTAGCCCGGATCGATTCTCTGCTGTACATGTTTCAACACATTACATCGGGTTTTCCAATAGGTTACGTCTGTTTTTCAACGCAACGAATTACTTTCAATACGTTACATCTTACTAGAAAAAGTAGAAGTAAATATGTTTAAAATAGAAATATAGTGTTGAAAATCACTACATCATCAAAATTTACCAGTAGAGAGATGAAGACAAATAGGGTAATGAAAGTCCAGATCGATGCTCTGGAGTAATTTCTCGTGTTGTGTAGTGTTATATACTTTAATATGTTATATCTATTTTTCAATACAGCGACTTTCCGCACATTACATGCGGCTAGAAAAGGTAAATGTAAATGTGTTAAAAATCACTACAACACCAAAATTTACTAGTATAGAGAGATAAAGACAAACAGAATAATGAAAGCCCGGACCGATCCACTGCAGTAATTTCTCGTGCTGTGTGGTGTTGTATATGTTTAACACGTTACATCTGTTTTTCAATATAATAACTTTCACCACATTACATATGGTTAGAAAAAATAAATGTAAATGTGTTGAAAATAAAAATATAGTTTTGAAACTCATTACAACACCAAAATTTATCAAAATTTACCTTAGAGGATCCAAGTATGAGAGAGATGAATAAGGACAAACAGGATAGTGAAAGCCATGGTTCTGTGCACTAATGTTTGAAGTGCCAGTTCAATTAATGTCTGATTAAAGTTTCTTTTGTTATATAAAACTGAGAGAGGGAGAGACCATTTCGAAGGTGGTCAAGTGGATTCAGTCATTGCAGAAAAACAGTAGATACGCAGATAGTGTACAGTGCGGTCTCAGAATCTACTGTTCATTAGCTTTGCATTTGCAATAGATATGGCGGACTCTATCTGTCTATATATATCTCTATCTTCTTCTTTTTTTGATAATTATATATATCTCTATCTTTCTCTCTCTATGTATATGTATATGCCACTCTCAGTCTCAAGAGAGAGTCTGAGTGAGTCTTTTTCTGGCTCAGTCTCTCTGAGCTTCGACTACCACTACTAACACTTTGATCGAGCCCCTTTGTCAGAATTTACGATGGACCACTGAAAGTTTCTGTTTTTGGGGTTTCACCCAAAGTGTTGTCTTTTACATCCTTTACAGAACAACAACAAACACATACTACATAACACGATCAGACCCCTATTCTTGTCTTTCTTATATATATATATATATAATGTGCATATGGCCTTGCTTGCATAATCGATCATATATATAATTGTCCTTTTAGTTTGCTTTTATCCTTTTGTTTGTTTTATTTATTTATTTTTTATATATCCTCCAATTCGTGTCTTTAAAATGTGTGTTTAATTCCATGGCTGCCTTTGTGCATGCATGCATCCTTTTGTTATTATAATCATATTTACTTTTACCCAAAAAATAAATATAAAAAATCAATTGATCATATGAACAGTCATAAGGGTTGAATATTGTCACATCGAGTGAGAGAAAGAGAAGTGTGTGAAATCTTATAATTAATGTGATCAATTATAGACTTTATCTTAAATTTACTAATCTCGATCATCCATTGAATATGATACATGTTCTTACAATAGAGTTTCTGGAGAAAAAAAAAACAAAAAAAGAAATGAAAGTAGAGTTCTCCTAAAATTCAAAATCATATTGCCATATTTAATAATAATAATAAAATGAGAATTTAGGTAAATTATAATAATTTTTATTAACTTTCTTGCTATTCAAAATATGAAATGAGATTTTCTGGCAAATTTTTTGAAAAAAATTCATGCTAGCCAAATGAATCTTAGAAAATTTATTTTATTTTCCTTCATTTTACTTTCATTTTCCAGTATTGATTTCATTCCAACCCAACAGATAAAATAATCATATATGTTACTAATTATCATTAAAAATGAAAATTAGGATGTAAAATAAAAGAAAAAAAAGTCTATCATAGATATGTGATTTATTATTATTAAAAAATGTTTATAGAAAATAGGAATGTAGTTGGACGAAAGAATTAATTAATTATTAAAAACGGTATATATACCGATATACTGTTATATTGGAACACCAAATTATCAGGGACTTTAGAGTTTATATGGGCTTGTAATGGCATGTTCTTGATTGGGCTTCTATATGTTGGGCTGTTATACTAGATTTCGTTCTACTCCTTGTTGTTAGCCCCAGCCATTTAGATCTACTTATCAGAGGCTTACAGACCAGGCCTTGGGGCTTAGGAAATTTGGTCTCGGTTGTATGGACCGTCTTGTTAAACATTTTAAAGGTTGGACCGTCTTGTTAGCCCAAGTCATTTAGATTTATTTATATATGTATATATATATACATGACATAAGTATCTATATATGCATATCTATATATTCTAAGTCGTATAGAGTGGTGCAAAAGTGAGAATAGAAGTGAGCAAAATTTAAATTACACAAAAGTGAGAGTGAAAGCGAGAGAATTACAAAAGAAATTAACATTGGTCTTTTGAGTGGAAGAAGCAAGCCCTAACTAGTCCCAGCTCTCCAAATGAGAATCTTGTCATGGAATTGTCAGGATGTGAAAAACTCTGGCAATTCAAGAGCCGAAAAGGTTGAATCCAATATATTCCCATCATTTTTTATTTCTTACGAGGAAAAGGCTGTTATTTTTTGGCAATCGATTTTTAGTGAAGAGTGAAATTTAAATTTATTAATCTAATTTTTATTGTTTCTACGTTTGCAGAAAATGTGTATATCTAAACTTACCAATTCAAATCCTGTATATATATACACACACACACACACACAAGACACTTTGAACTTTTCATTTACCCAATTTTGATATTGCATGAGTGGTAGAGTCAACACTTAATATTTCTAATCTTATTAAGATGATAAAAATAAATTGCGGTTTATCTCTTAATCCATAGCTTGTGATGAGGCATCTTAATTATTCATTTATTTTTTTATTTTTTCATTTTTATCATCAATAAAATCTCTTGCTGCTGTGAAAAAAATAAAATAAAATCAACCATTGCCACATTTTAACCAAGTTCATGGAAGTGTAACCAGCTTTAGAAAATTTAAAAGTTTGAATAAACATTCAAATCAAAATGACAAAAGCACGGTCATTTTGTTTTAGTTGATAAAACGCTTAGCTCCCCGACTAGGTGACATTTAAGTACTCCCATCCCTTAGCTTTGTTGGGAAAAAGGAAATGACAATAGACACCCTATAGCTTCAATACTAGTTTGTGAAGTGGGCAATGGTGGCATGAGGCTCAGCTGCTGACGGCTCAAAGGACAGTGACGGTGCCACGGGCTTACCCATCAGCTTACCTGGCAAGTCCTTAATACCCTTCAAATAAAACGTATAGAAGACCTTGAATGAGAACACAATCTGCTGCATCTTGACCTCACCGTACACCCCTTCGAATATTCCCGACCCACTAGTCACAGCCAGATACGTGTCCTCATAAGTCAAGTAGAGGGCCCTTGCACCGTCAAGTGGCCGTAATGCCCGAAGTAAAAAATGTATATGGCCTCGTACCGGTCACCTTTCTTCTTCAACACATGCTGGATCAGCGTACATAGACCAGCCGTGATCCCTAACCGCTTCTCTAGGTCTCCGGTATAGAGCTTGTTGCTGAACGGAGCGAAGTCACCCAGTGAGTTGACTAGTTTCTAACTCAGTCGTACATACACCGGGCTACCTCGGTCTCGCTCATTCATCTCATGCACGCATAATTCTTGAACTTTTGCTAAAACAAAATTATTACATTTGAGTTGATATGAGTGGGTGAGATGTATTAAATGACAGGTTTACCCTTCATTATCTAAATGAAGCAAATAAAGTTTGTTTTGAAAGATGATAAAAAAAAATAAGGGCAAAATAATCATTTCAGTTACTAAATTTAAAAAGTAGAGTACAAGAGAGTATCAAAAGTGAGTATGTTTTCGAATTCAAATCCATTCCGATGCACTAGATAGGGAGTATGAAGATCACGATGTTCCCCTCTCGTGCACTAGACCGTTCAGTACAAAGGATAGGATTTAAAGTCAAATGTTTTCGGCATAGACGTAATGATTCTTAATTATTGGAAAGAAACATGAATTGTAGTAGGAAAATAATTACTGGGTCTCGAGGAATCTGGTTTTGTTTTGTAGTTGAAGAAGAATGCAGTGGTTGTGATGCTCTTGGAAGGTCTTCGTCTGGCAGAGAAGTCTTGACGGGTTGTTGAGATCTTGATGTTTTGGGTTGACAAGTGGATGTTGGAGATTGAAACCTAACAGTCTCTGGGATTGTGATGAAGATGGTGATCTGAGGTAGTTGGGTAGTTTCAGTGAAGAGGTTGGCTTGAAAGAGCTTATGGAAGCCATTGATGGACAACACACAGACACAGATCAAAAGAAGAAGAGAAGAAGGAAATTAAGATATATTATGCTTATGTTGAATGTTCTTTGGGTAGGAATATGCACGGTATTTATAATGGAGTATGAGTGTGTGTTCGACTTTGTACACACATATAGGTGTTTCATGGAAAGTGTGGGTGATGAAAATGGCACTAGGGACAGTAAATTACATTCATACGATGCATATGTATATTTATTGAAAAAAATGATAAAATTTTGGTTTCTATTATCAATTGATGTGACACTTATGGAGATAAATGAGCATTAATATTAAAATAATTACTACTACACAACACCAAAATTTACAATTAAAATTTCAGATTTGAGATAAACACCCTAAGAGCAAGTGGTGCGGGCAACACAAGTTATTTATCTACTTTTTAAAAGTAGGGTGTCACGTAAGTTAAAAAGTGATGATGTGATACTCCATTTTTTTTTATACATATGTTCCATGGTGTGGAACCCAATTATCTCATTATCTATTTATTATTT